GGTTTGAATTTCCACTTAGTAAAAAAACATTAGTGTGCCATTTGGGATGCCACTACATACATGTACTATCCTGTTGAGTGTGTAAGTGCATAAGTACATAGTGCATGAGTGCATAGTGTATAGTGTGCCATTTGGGACGCAGCTATAGTCTTGTCCATAGACTTTACCTCATCAGAAAGTGGAAAAAAGAGATTAATTTAAAAACTTGGTATAAATGTCAATGTGTCTCCTAAAACTCTCCTAAAACTTATCTTAATATCAGTTATAAAAAAAAGCTAAAGGATTCAGCTTACAGCAGGTGTGAGCCTTGCTCTTCAGACCGCACTCACACTATGCTATTCGAACCGTGCCCAGGTGCATTTCCCGATTCGTTTGAGAAGAGCGAGTGCTCTGAATCGGGCTCGGGTGTGGTTCAGTTGGCTGGTCCTGGCCCGGTTGGAAGAGGTGTTCCAGAGCGCGGTTCACTTGGGCTTTGGCGCGGTACGCTTGTAGAGCTCGAAACTGAAGACGCAACAACACTTTAAGGGGGCTGTTTAATATGATTTATTAATCATTCTTACTGTTCGATGAATGCAAACTGTCGTAGTTTAATAAAGACGCAAACCCCTCACTGCATGTCAGCTGCCACGTGCAGCAAACCTCCTAATACCTGCTGCAGAAGGACTTTTTCAAATAATTTATGAGCGTCAAAAGTGATGGATCTGTTCAGCAAGGTGTTTGACTGCGTGTCACTGCATCCCAAATGACTAAACATAATACAAAACGATAGAACTAAAGCAATCCCCACTATGCTGAGGGAGCTCAGGTCAACAAGGGGAAAATGCAATGTTAGTGCAGGCTGAGGGGAAGGGGGCAATCGTGCTTTGGCACGGTTCGAGGACTCTAAGGAGGTGTCTGTTAGATTGTATTAACTGTACCTGAACCCTTTTCCTGATCTTACTAAATGAAATTCCTACTTTACTACCTAAAATCAGCTTGCAGTAGATTAAAAACAAGCCACGCCCACCATTTTCTCATTTAATTTTCCGTTTCTCTAGGAACTGCATCACACTAAAAAAAAAAAAATAATATTTTAAAGTAATACATGTTATTTTTAATGGAAATGATGATATTTGTTCTCTCCCTCTGAACAGTAAGATCCAGTGTTTGCATTTCTCCTGCTGGGACACTCACAAGGACTGGATGGTGGATCTGCCTAAAGGAGAGGACGTGCGTGCTTTGTGTTTGGGTCAGGGCTGGGCCGCAGTGGCCACCAGTGCTTTGATGGTCAGGCTGTTCTCCATTGGCGGTGTGCAGAAGGAGATCTTCAGTCTGCCTGGAGCTGTGGTCTGCATGGCGGGACACGGCGAGCAGCTCCTCATAGCGTATCACAGAGGTATACAGATGTTTGACCTTTATTTTCCCCACAGTTACAGGTTTATATCTGTTAATTCAACCTGTTTCTTGCAATTTGCAGAAAAAGTCAGAATTGTGAGCTATAAACTTTAGATGTAATCTCAGAATTGCAAGAAAATGTTTGACTTATTTTGAAGTGCAAGTTAAGAGGCTTTAGATGCTTCTTACATGTTTCCGCAGGATACAAACAGAATTAAGAGCATTGGCTTGGACTTATATAAACAAAAAAAAATGTAGATCATTTTTTTAGATAATTATGTTTTATTTGTGGTGGAAAATTGCTGTGGTTCTTACTTGGCTACTTGTATGTTTCTTTTAAACTGATTTGTCAGAACGCTCATAAACTGATAATTTTTTTATTTTTTATGATTATTTATTTATTGCAGAAGAAAGCCTGCGTACATAGCTAGCAACAACTATATACAAGCCAGGGTTTGCATTAAATGAAAATACATAAAGAAATTACCAATAATAATAGTAAAATAAAGACAATAAAATAATAAATGAATAACAATACACAGAAAAAGAAAAGCTCTGGGGTGAGAATTAACTAGTTATTACATAAGAAATTTTCTCAATAAAATCAGACCATGCTTTGATTGTATGGGGTTTAGCTCTGTTAATTCTTGCAGTGGAACGTTCTAGCAGTGCAATATTTTTTAGTTCAATAAGCCATATTTTATCCGCTGGGAATGAGGGTTCATGCCGTATTTTAAATATAACTTTCTTGGCTGCAGTTAGTGCAGTATGAAATATCCTGCGTTGAGAAGTGTTTAGGTTTAGATCATAATCATCATTCAATAAACAGATATTACGGTATTTAGGAATGAACATCTCACACAATTCTGAAGTAGTTTGAAATACCTTATCCCAAAATGTACTGATAAATGGACATTCAAAAAACATATGCATATATGTCCCCACAGAGTTTGAATTACACAATGTACAAAAAGGGGTAGGTAGATAAATTATTTGTTTTTTAGCAACAAATGTAATAACACATGAAATTACTAAAATTAAATAAATATGCAAATCCATTAAAACCATTAAACAACCACTAAACCGAAGAATCTGAATGGATGAATCTGTCTTTGCTTGTGCTCTGTGTCTACATGTTGGATGAGGATGATTGTCTTGTATGCTGTCAGGTACCGGGTTTGATGGAGAGCAGGCTCTTGGTGTTCAGCTGCTTCAGCTCGGCCGGAAGAAAAGGCAGGTCATCCATGGAGAGCCGTTGCCTCTGTCACGGAAATCCTACCTGGCCTGGATGGGCTTCAGTGCGGAGGGTGAGTCATTTCCTCTGCTTGAACAGAATACGCACATACACTGTTCTCAACTTTAACTCTATTCTCTTCTGTAAACGAAACAGTTAGACATGCACACATATTTTAAGAATATATTTTTTTCTTGCCAAGTTAATCTAACTTGGTTAACCTAATTGCTCTATTTAAATTTTTAGTTTTTCACTTTGAAATGAATACTGGTATCTTGCATAATAGCTAGTGAAATATTTTACTGACATCAGGGCAGATAAAATAAAATGATTAGAAATTTGATATTAACCTCTTTGGGACCCTCTGTCCAATACAATGGACATCATATGTCAGCCCATGTTTTTTGTGGTTCCTGAGCATTTCATCTCATTTAAAGCCTGCAGTCCACAAGAGTGGACTATTGTCATTCAATCAAATGTCGGTAATGCTCGGCATGTTGCAATTTGAAAAAGATCCACTACACCCAAAAGCAGCGTGGCATCAATTCATTTCAGACACAGACGTAAGTCGCATTTACAATGTTTTTCTTTAGATTTGTTGATATGTTTGGCAATATTTCATAGATTGTATTTAAAAAAAGAAAAAGGGATTTCACTTATTAATTAAAGTTTAATATCTTCTGTAACATTGCAAGCTTTAGATCAGGATTTTGTCAAATATGTCTGTCCATTTGGATGAATAATGGCTTCAAGATCTGTTACTGAAAGTAAATCTCCAGTAATGCTGATTGCACTTTATTTTAAAAAAACTATGTCGATGTACTGATTCATTGCTGAAACAATTTCATATGCAGAATATACAGATCTCAAAGTTCTTGAGCCTATAGCAGATAGAAAAATCTCAGATGTGTGCATTATGTGGAGTGATGTGAAAGATAAAGCTTGTTACAAACAAGGTGCAGCTCTATACAACAGAAACCTCGAAATCAAAGTGAAACTGCTGCAATTGTAATGTTTGAGATTTTGAAAATAAGTTTTCAAGCATTTTCCAGCAATCATGTATGTTTTTTGTATTTTATATTGGTAAAATGTTTGGGAAGTTCAACTGTTCTGACCTAATGTCCCTTGAAATGGACTATTTATATAGGAGCCTCAAGATCTGTGAGAACATACTTTTACATTTTTCAGAAACTTGGAACATAATTCAGGTCTGAAGGCGGTAAAACTTGTTTAAAAATGTGTTAAATCTTCTATCCATTAAACATCACTTGGAAATAATTGAAAAAGTACTGGAGGGCTGATCATTTAACCTTAGGATGAAAAGATATTGGTATTAACATCTGAATAATATGATATTATTATCAATGCCAGTTTTTGGCCAAAATTAGCATATCACACGTTAACCATATTCAATGACTATCATTTCACATAGATATATACACTAGATATCGCATAGGGACCCTGAGCATGCGTCAATAGTGCCGCCACATTGGTACAGTGCTCCCAGGACAAATGTCATTCAACCACACTAGTAAAGACAGTGTTATTACGTGAAGATGCGGGACTTTAGCGCTGTCTACGGGTGTAGTAACAAGCAAACAAAGAAAACAAAGCACAAAGGCAGAACATTTCATAGGTAAGATTAAGTTTTTTTCTGTTTTCGTATGTTCTGAACTTT